ACCAATCGCTCCTCTTCCCTCCCGCACCCACCCTCCTGTAACCACAAACTTCTGCTGAGCACCCTAACACTACATTTTTAAACCTACCCCATACATCTTCGGCCCCATTGCCTATGCTCTCATTAGCCCATCTATCCTCCAATAGCTGTTTATATCTTACCCTAACTGCCTCCTCTTTTAGTTTATAAACCTTCACCTCTCTCTTCCCTGATGCTTCTGTTCTCCTTGTATCACATCTACCTTTTACTCTCAGTGTAGCTACAACTAAACAGTGATCTGATATATCTGTGGCCCCTCTATAAACATGTACATCCTGAAGTCTACTCAACAGTCTTTTATCTACTAATACATAATCCAACAAACTACTCTCATTTCGCCCTACATCATATCTTGTATACTTATTTATCCTCTTTTTCTTAAAATATGTATTACCTATAACTAAACCCCTTTCTATACAAAGTTCAATCAAAGGGCTTCCATTATCATTTACACCTGGCACCCCAAACTTACCTACCACACCCTCTCTAAAAGTTTCTCCTACTTTAGCATTCAGGTCCCCTACCACAATTACTCTCTCACTTGGTTCAAAGGTTCCTATACATTCACTTAACATCTCCTAAAATCTCTCTCTCTCCTCTACATTCCTCTCTTCTCCAGGTGCATACACGCTTATTATGACCCACTTTTCACATCCAACCTTTACTTCAATCCACATAATCCTTGAATTTACACATTCATATTCTCTTTTCTCCTTCCATAACTGATCCTTCAACATTATTGCTACCCCTTCATTAGCTCTAACTCTCTCAGATACTCCAGATTTAATCCCATTTATTTCCCCCCACAGAAACTCCCCTACCCCCTTCAGCTTTGTTTCGCTTAGGGCCAGCACATCCAACTTCTTTTCATTCATAACATCAGCAATCATCTATTTCTTGTCATCCGCACTACATCCACGCACATTCAAGCATCCCAGTTTTATAAAGTTTTTCTTCTCTTTTTAGTAAATGTTTACAGGAGAAGGGGTTACTAGCCCATTGCTCCCGGCATTTTAGTCGCCTCATACGACACGCATGGCTTACGGAGGAAAGATTCTTTTCCACTTCCCCATGAACAATAGAAGAAATAAAGAAGAACAAGAGCTATTTAGAAAAAGGAGAAAAACCTAGATGTATGTATATATATATGCATGTGCGTGTCTGTGAAGTGTGACCAAAGTGTAAGTAGGAGTAGCAAGATATCTAGCGTGTTTATGAGACAGAAAGAGACACCAGCAATCCTACCATCATGCAAAACAGTTACAGGTTTCTATTTCACAGTCATCTGGCAGGACGGTAGTACTTCCCTGGGTGGTTGCTGTCTACCAACCTACTACCTCTCTCTCTCTCTCTCTCTCTCTCTCTCTATATATATATATATATATATATATATATATATATATATATATATATATATATATATATAATATATATATATATATATATAAATATATATATATATATATATGTCGTGCCGAATAGGCAGAACTTGCGATCTTTGCTTAAATAGCAACGCTCATCTTGCCATATAGGACAAGTGAAAATTTGTGTATGCAATAATTTCGCCAAATTCATTCTGAACCTAACGGAAAAAATATATTTCACTGTGTTTGTTTAGTATTAAATTATTGTAAACAAATCTAAAATATATTTAGTTGGGTTAGGCTAAAATAAATTGTTCTTGTTACAATAAGGTTAGGTAAGTTTTTTAAGTTCCTTTTGGTGCAAAATTATAAATTTTTACATCAGCCTTAATGAAAAAAAATATATCTTTAAACGTATAAAAGAAAATTTTAGAAAGGACTTAATTTTAAGTGAGTTCTTGCTAATTGACCAGTTTTACATATTCGGCACGACATATATATATATATATATATATATATATATATATAATATATATATATATATATATAATATATATTATATATGTCGCGCCGAATATTAAAACTTGCGATCTTGGCTTAAGTAGCAACGCTCATCTTGCCATATAAGACAAGCGAAAATTTGTGTATGCAATAATTTCGCAAAAATCATTCTGAACCTAATGAATAAAATACATTTCATTGTTTGTTTAGTAATATTAAATTATTGTAATCGTATCTAAAATATATTTAGTTGGATTAGGTTAAAATAAATTGCACTTGTTATAAAAAGGTTAAGTAAGTTTTCTAAGATTCTTTTGGTGTAAAATTAAAAATTTTACATTAACATTAATGAAAAAATATATCTTTAAACTTATAAGAGAAAATTTTAGAAAAGACTTAATTTTAAATGAGTTCTTGCTAATTGATGACCTACAGCTGAAACTTTTTGTCAGCTGACCGACGCCTTCCACTGGCTCACTGTTCCACCCATTTAAAAATTATAGTTATGATTATAACCATTAGCTTATATATTTTTCATTCTGTCTGAAAAAATTGTTAATGTCAGATATATAATTCGTAAAGTGGGCGAAATTAATGAAAAAAAAAAACTTTGGATTTTAAACTCATGGCATTTATAGGATCATTTAACATTGATTCACACTGGGTTATTTTCATGATTTCGCTCATTTGTTTGTCCCACAAGTTAACTATTATAAAGAACAGTGCAGCAAAACACTGTGTGTTCCAACACTGCAGTAATTATATAAGTGAAAATGGCAACAACGTGTCGGTCTTCCCACAATGTAACTATCATGTAAAGTACTTCAGCTGCACTGTTGTTGTATTGAATTATTTTATATCCCACTTCAACTACAAGATACAGACACCATCTTAAGCCCCGTCTTCCCCAAATCCATTGTTTCTCTGATGTGCTCAGGACTCCTGTCTCCGAGGGAAACTGATGCCACCCGATTAACAGACTAAGACTTTTCTAATTGTAATCCAAAGCGAATGAAGACCCAAATCAAAATAATTAAAATGGAGCGAGGGTGTCTTGGTTTCCATATTCAATTAAGGTGGAAATGAGCAGCGTGTACTACTCTCAGCAGGCGAGACCTCGTCCGTGTATATGATGTTGGCTTTGGCTTCAGAACACTTTCGAGAAGGAGATCTGATTCGAATTAATCCAAAATATCATAAGAAAGTCAATCATTCTGGCATATTTCCACTGGGGTCCGTTAACCTTCTTACTTGGGTATTAGTCGACCCATAACGGTCGACTAATACCCAAGTACCTTCTTACTGTTAGGTGAAGAAGGGCAACAGGTGTAAGTAGGGTGTCTTAATCCTCGTCAAGGACTGTTATCAACCTCACATTACCCTCACCTATGCTGTAAATCTTAACAAAATAAATATTTCTATTGTTATTAGGTATTTAGCTCCGTGTTTGCCAATTTTATAGCTAATTTCTGGGAGGGTTGTCCTTCTCAACCATTATGCACAAAAATGAATTAGTGGAGCCACAACAAATTTATTACGTGGCTAGTTTAAGTACCTAAAATATATTAAGAAAAAGTGCGTTAAAAAAAAACAGGTATTATCGGGACCAGCTTTAACAACGTGTAGAGATTTATCAAATTATGTTTTGTAACATGTGCCATTTGTTTAATAATTCCGTTTACAAGCCTTTTGAATTCACTAATACATAATTTTTTTTTAGGACGGAGATACTAGGACGCCAGACATTTTACGATATGTTTCTTTTTTTTTTCTAGAGGGTTAGTAATCTCTTTTTTTCAGTTAAGCCATGAGTTATGTAGATTTCAAGCCATCTGGCTGATCTGTGAAAGATAATGTGGCTAATAATGTTTATTGTTAACGTTATTACCACAAGGTATGTACTATCTCTCGTTATACATATAGTATATAATTATATATATATATATATATATATATATATATATATATATATATATATATATATATATATATATATATATATATATATATATATATATATCGAACAGTGCGTATACCAGTATAGATACTACAAGAGGTTTGTATATTAGTAAATATGCATTAAGGGTTTATTCAATCGTTGTTTAGTGATCCAGCCGATGGCCCTTCTATTCAAAGTATCCTGTTACTGAGCTCCATGCTACTGAGCTCCATGCTACTGAGCTCCATGCTACTGAGCTCCATGCTACTGAGTTCCCTGCTGCTGAGCTCCCTGCTGCTGAGCTCCCTGCTGCTGAGCTCCATGCTACTGAGCTCCCTGCTGCTGAGCTCCCTGCTGCTGAGCTCCCTGCTGCTGAACTCGCTGCTGCTGAGCTCCCTGCTACTGAGCTCCATGCTACTGAGTTCCCTGCTGCTGAGCTCCCTGCTGCTGAGCTCCATGCTACTGAGCTCCCTGCTGGTGAACTCCCTGCTGCTGAGTTCCCTGCTACTAGGTGCTAACGAAACCAGAAACAGGCTAGATCCCCCAACACAAGTAAGGTCTGTGTACAGAAATTGCTGCGCACACACATGCGCAGCCATACGCATTCACAGCGCCAGAATGGAACCCGCATTTGTTTAAGCATGTGAAGAAGCAAATGTTTGCAGGGAAACTAGTCCCAGAGCTGAGAGGTATGATCTATGAGGTGAGGCTAGACTAACTAAACCTGACGACACTAGAGGAGAGAAGGACCAGAGGGAACATAATTATGACGTACAAAATACTGATAGTGACAGCGAGAGTGTACTAGAGAGGCGGGTCTCAGGTACACGAGGTCAAAGCTGGGAGTTGAAAGCACATATGATGTCATAGGACCGTTATGAAATAGTTTTTTAGACTTAGAGTGGTCAAGATTTTACTGGAAGAATCCATACATAGGTTTGAAAATAGGTATGTTAGGGCTCACGCAGCCAGGAGTGAAGCCAATAGCGACCAGCAGAGAGGTGGGGCCAAGGAGCTGAGATTTGACCCCTGCAACCACAATTAAGTGAGTACACACACACACACACACAGCAGTAGCTACTAGTGAAAAGTCAGGGCCAGGGGCTATGAATCGATCCCTGCAACCACAATTAGGTGAGTACACACACACACACTCACCTACAGAACTGCAACTGGTGATCTCCGTCAGTAAAGTCGACATATGTGACGGTGGGACGGACATGCCGGCACCAGTCACACACCTTGCTCTTCTTGAAGGACGCTCGACGGCACTGTGTGAAGCACACCTCGGAGCAGAAGTGTCTGTCTCCTCCCGTCGTGGGCAGCTGGAAGGCGCTGCCGCCCCTCTGACCTCCGCTGGTGCACACACGCCCACACCATGAGCACAGCACCAGCCCTGACCCACCCACGCCGCCGCCCACCACCACGCCTCCGCTGTCTGCAATATACCATTGCATAGTTAGAGTATGTCTGAAAGGATCACCTGAAGTCTGGGTGATAGTTTGGAAGGATCACCAAAAGTCTGGGTGATAACTGACAAGGCCGTCATTAACGGCCGGAGGATCGAGCCAAAACAGCATTAAGGCTCGATGTTCGTCCGTTAATCGTGACCCGACCTTTGACCAAGTATTAATAACTAGAAGACGGTGTTCTGTTTAGTGTAGCTACTTGGAACAGGGAAACAGGAAGGGCAAATCACAAGGGCTTTCTGAAAAAGAAATGATGTTAAATGTTTAAGTCACCGCTTAAATAAGAAATTCTGACATAGAAAACTATTCCACATGTAGTTTTAGGGCTAACTAAAGTAATCCCTCTGGCCCGTAGCCGACGTCGCAGCCGAACGGAGAACGGACGCAGGTGCTGTATCTCAAGCTCGCTGGGGTAAGGTAGGACTACGAGATAATGCTAGACGCTCTTAATGAAGTGTTGTCTATCTTGAATTACTTCAGTACAGGTTTTCGGTGTTGATTGGTGCTGTTTTACTCCGACTTCCAGGAAGAATGCTATTGTGATCGTTCCGTAGAAAAGATTTGTTCGAATCATTAATCCGGTGACAATAGCTACTATCGGCTTTAACCCACATAAGCTGACTGCCCATCATAACCTAGTTGTCAGTATTCCATGGGAGGGCCTTTCATCCTCTCCCTCAGTACACGACCCCACTAGTCGACTAACTATCAGGTACTGCTAGGTGACAAGGGGCAGCGGATGTAAGTAAACAGGCCTAACGTTTCCATTCTGTGCCAGGACCGGACCCCTGTCCCTCGGTATGTGAGACAAGGCAATTACCAACTGAACCATTGAGCCACTCTGTTGCACTCTAGTAAGGACACATTTAAATCTGAGATACTAGACTAATGCCAGATTTTTTTTTCCTGGTAAATATAATTGAACGAAGAAACTGTGGTCATGCATTACTCTGTCGCTCGGACTTATGTATCACTGTCATTCTTATCTGGAGTATACCTGGAGAGGGTTTCGGGGGTCAACGCCCCCGCGGCTCGGTCTAAGACCAGGTATCGTGGTGGATCAGTACTAACTGACTGCAAGTGGTACCTAAGCATTGTTGTTATCTTGGATATCAATGAAAGAATTTTCATTGCTTTTGTACTCCGGTTTCTCACAGTTGCTCAAGTTTTCTTTAATTTGTTCACTAGTGTTCTCTGCCCCCCTGATTAGCAGCTTCATGTATCATAATTTTATTTAAACCCATGTATCACCGTGTTACTCTCGAGAAATGAAATGAATAAGGCTTGGCATGATATATTTTGGAGAAAAGTGTCTGAGAGGCCGAGATCATGCGTGGGTCAGAAATAATCGTCACCAATATAGAGATCAAGTGGTATGTTCTCCAGCCTCAAAGTCTGGACAGGTGGCATGAATGAGCGTGTGGATGAGTGTGTTATGAAAGTGTTTGCCCACAAAGACATTAGAAGCTTCTTCATTTTTCATTGGTGAGCAAGTGTAGATATAAAGTACATTGGCGAAGCTTTGTCGGGGACTCGAAGATGGCAAACCACACTGCAAGGTCTTGTGCTTTTGCTTGTTGAGTCTGTGTCCCCGTTAACTACAAATCAACCTTTTCCCTGCCTCGGTACACGTTAACTGTTATTTAAAAGAGAGAGAACGGTAGTACAATTTCATAAAAAAACACCTCAGTGGAGACCAAAAATACTAGATACTAGAGGCGTTTACTTATTTCCACGACTCCTCCCACCCGGAGCACGTCACTGACATAGACACCTGATAGCACATTCGTCTAGATTTAATTAAACTCGTAAATTGTGGGTGAAGTACTGTGTAACGAGACAGTATGAAGCAGGAGCTAAGAAGAAAAGATGTATACCACACCCTTCATGGGAGGTCCCTTGATGCCGGTGAAGGGCTCTTGATCCAGGGAACGTACACTGGTGCAGCACTTCCTCGTGGATATGATAATAATAATAATATTTATGTGTATAACACTTAATACTGCCCTCTGTCTCATACACTTCTTGTTATACTGTCTTGTGTTTCACCTCACGATATATTACCTTGTATTTCACTTCACGATATATTACCTTGTATTCACTTCACGTTGTATTACCTTGTGTTTCACTTCAAGTTATACTGCTTTGTGTTTCACTTTACGTAATATCTGGAGTCTACCTGGAGGGTATTCCGGGGATCAATACCCCCGCAGCCCGGTCCACGACCAGGCCTCCAGGTGGATCAGGGCCTGTTCAAGCAGGCTGTTACTGGTGGCCGCACGTAGTCCAACGTACGAACCGGCACCGACTTAAAGTATCTGTCCAGTTCCTCATGAAGGCAACCAGGTACCCATTGGTAATTCCCTTTACGCATGGTGGGAAGCTGTTGAACAGTCTTGGGCCCCGGACACTTATTGTGTTTTCTCTTAGTGTATCAATGGCGCCCCTATTTTTCACTGGGGGTATTTAGTACCGCCTGCCCAGTCCTTTACTTTCGTGGGGAGTGATTTCTATGTTCTGTTTGTCCTGGGTCTTGTATGAGTCCTTTAACTTAAGTTTGATACTTTCCACTTCCCTCGTCAGCGCTTCCTTCCGTGTAACAAATAATCTAGCGTTCTTGAGGAGCTCAGTGATTCTTCGTCTTCTGTAGAGGGAGCGTCTTTCTCCAGTTTACTTCTTCTCTTCTTCTTTCATAGGGGAATACACTTTGAACATACTTCAGCTGCCAGGAAGTTGATTCTTTCAAGACACTGGTTTGGATCCATGTTATGTAAGATATCTTCCCAACATGTTTCATTTAAGACATGGTTCACCTAGTCCTGGTTGATGTTCTTTTTGTTGAAGTTGTATTTGGTGAAGACACCTTCACAGCTACGTGAATTTTGCTGATCAGGACTCCTGTACATGTAAGTCTGAACTTCACTTAGATTGTGATCGGAATTAGTTGTTTTTTTATATTGTTATATTTCTTACCGGGTCCTCATTATTTGTGAAGATAAGGTCAAGTATGTTTTCCAGTCTTGTTGGCTCCACTATCTGCTGACTTAGGTTGTGTTTATCGCAGATTTAGCAGCTTATGTGTGTGTGACCTTTCACGTGCGCTGCCTCCAGGGATTGTTTCTGCTATAACATTATTTGCTACATTCTTCCATTTTGTATGCCTTAAGTTGAAATGACCAAGCATTACTGCTTGATGGGGATGGAGATGGAAGGCTCTCCAGACAGCAATCAATTTTCAGTAGCTGTTCCTTGAACTGTTGGGAGGTTGCATCTGGTGGCTTAAATACAACCACGATGACTAGGTTTTGGATCTCGATCTTCATTGCTAGAACTTCAACTACATCATTTGTAGTGTTCAGCATCGCTGCGCAGATGCTGAACAGATGTTGCCGGTTCTTTATGTCGCATCTAAAAAGGTTGTACCCATTTATCCATATTTCGTTGTCAAAGTGATCTTTTGTGTGGATCTCTGAAGGCTCCAAATATCACATATGACTTCTCAAGAAATCCACTGATAAAATTTATTTTGTTACTGGTGGATGGCTTAAGGCCCTGTAATTTAGCAAATATAAACGAGGTCGTATTGTGTTTGTTGGGGGGATTTTGTTATTGGCATCAGTAGTTGTGGTTCTGGAGGGCCGTGGAGGGCCACTGGCTGTGCCTCCAGTCCAACAAGGTTCCAAGGTGGTGGACTATTTTTGTTATTTCCTTCCATTTTCTTTCTTCGTTTAGCGCCACTAAAAAATTACTTGGAGTGGGGTTGTCGTAACTACTATTGTTTGTCTTATGAGGTCTGTACCTCCTGGTCCCTTTTAGATGGTATACAGGACAGCTGGTGTTGTAACACTGTTTGTTGGAGGACTGAAGAGTGGCATGTTTCTGGGTGAAAGAAATGACAGGAGGGAGAACGACAAACTCCTTTAGACAAGAGGTCACGACATTTTTTGGGATGTTCAAAGTTGCACGTCTCACTTGTTTTTCCTGATATTCCATGCTTACAGATGCCCCAAACATAAACTTGCACAATGTTGCTTTTGGTTGGGTAGAATTTTTGGTAGGTGTGTTCTCAATTTGTGCAGTTTCTAGGACAGCACTATAATCCTCAGTAGCCAAGCCAGGGCCACCTCCTCCTGCTTCCGGGGAACCAGCACTTTCCCCAGAAAAAGAAGACTCCTCCACTGCATCTGTAATGTGGGCTATGGTCTTTTGCAATGATGGTTGTATATTTAAGGTTTTAGTGGTGCCTGTGTTAGAGTCCCTAGCAGAATCTGAATTGGCACTAAGGCTAGGGACTGAGTCTTAGTCAGCATTGGGGCTGGGAGCTGAGTCTGAGCCAGCACCAGCACCGTGGGGCAGCAGAGCTAGAACTAGGGGATAGGTCTAGGTTAGCACTATTTGGGGGGGGGATTAACTGACGTTTTAGTTTCCTGTATTTTTTTCAGCAGGTGACTATATAATTTCGAGTCACCTGTTGTGGTATGGGCATTTTACATTTTTTGGTTCACTCCTCCAATCTCTTCCTCCTATGTTTTATATATCTTCGGTAGACTGCACAAGAGTTTTTCTTTATTCTCTTGTTTATTTTTTAATTATTTATTACCCTTTCTGATACATGCTCAAAGTTCTATATCTTTGTTGTAAACCGGAAGCACCTTGCTAGTTTGATGTCATTTTTGAGGCAGTGTTTATTCTTCAACAAGAGATATGATACTTGGAAAAACACAGAATGCGTGTGATCCAGGATTTCTTTCCATGGATTTTTTTACATGTCCCACACGTGTGCTGTACTGACATCCTGCCCGCATCCTACTTCATTGTATGTCACGAAAAAAATGATTTCGACTTTAAGTTTCTGCTCTACACTGGTGACAGTAATATGTGAGATGTATTTATAGAAACCGAGGTTTGCAGCTTGTAAGTAGTAGGTGAATTTTGGGTAGTAGGAGGGTGACTATATTATGACCGTGGG